AAGAGGTACGAACGCTGAAGAATTAATTTATGCCATATATGTTTGCTTCGTAATTTTTGTTTAATCGAATGAAATATTTTAATTTTATGAAAATTTTTCAGGTTTCTAGCGCGATCGTGGAAGTGTTAAGTAAGAATTGTGTACATCGATTTAAAACGAACTAAGGGTCGATGCGCATTTACGTGCCAGTCTCGGGTCGTGCTAGCAGCGTGCTCGATCGCGAGCATTCTTACACGGTAACTTTTTTATTTTTCATTATTTTTTAACGGGACTTTTTCCAATGCAATCGTGAGCTTTTTCTGATTAAAATGGTACCAAACACGATAAGATTATATTAATTTTTATTGAAAATATAAATATATACTTTTCATATTAATATTAACTTGAATATTAGAGGAAACCAGTGGAACGTCATCCTATCGAAATGATTTGATATCTGGTTTATAAATTTGCTACAAAATAACAAGCGCCGTTTATTTACATAAAAATAAAAATGACCTTTTTTATACAGTGTGAACACTCCGATGTAAATCAAATGTACGAATGATTCGGCTTTGGAGCACGGCCCGAGCCTGGCACGTAGATGTATGTGCATCGACCCTAAATGTGTATCTAAACGAACAACGGGTGATCATTGCGCAACGAATGATCTTCGCGCACTAATAATATGTATTAGAGTAATTTAGATAATTTATTAGAATAATAATTTATTAGAGTAATCGAAGGAACTGTTTGTAAATCTAGACGAAGAACAGGTGATCAAGAGAGAATGGATTTCCGTGTACCTGCTCGTGCTACTGAGAAATGCTATGGTTTTCGACACGGTTATCCGGCGGGTCAACAGAATTCCCATCCGATATCGATCCTCGAGCTGGATAACTCCAAGAGGAAGCCTCCCCTAATATCCGAATGAAAGATGGTCGTGCGCGTCGTCCCGAAACCGAGCCACCGGTATCTTCTCGTGGGTGTACAAATAATTCAGATGATAAACGAATTAAGTCGAAACGGGATGATGAAAGGCGCGTTTAGGGCGGCGGAAGAGAGACCGGCTCCTGCATTAATGCGGGGGCTGATGTAGCAGAACGTTTGACCCCTCGTCCCTTGCGCGAAGACACTGTTCCACGTAGGATAGGGACGAGCGCAAGGGAGAGCGAGAGAGAGAGAGCAGAGCGAGAGAGAGCGAGATAGAGAAAGAGCGAGAGAAAGCGAGAGCGAGAGAGCGCGAGAGCGGAGAGCGCGAGGAAGAGAGCGTGAGAGAGAGCGCGTGAGAGAAAGCGCGAGAGAGAGCGCGAGAGGGAGAGAGCGCGAGAGGGAGAGAGCGCGAGAGGGAGAGCGCGAGAGCAAGAGCGCGAGGAAGAGAGCGCGAGGAAAAGAGCGCGAGAGAGAGAGCGCAAGGAAGAGAGCGAGCTAGAGAGAGAGAGAGCGCGAGAGCGAGAGAGACGAAGGGAGGCGGACGCACGTGCTCGACTCATGAATCAAGTCGCATTAGTGGGGGGCATAGCAGGCCTGGTGGGCACCGATCTACCACTCCAACTTCAAGTAGATTGGATTTCTGAACTTTATTCAATTATCCGGGAACGAGGCGCGGCGAAACGAGCAGCGGCGTGCCGTTGAGGGCTTTCCGCGAATAATTCGAGCTGCGCCGGGCTCGTGCTGTGCGTCTGCAACACTAGAAGCACCGTGCAGTCGCTGCAGCTTACCGTCTCGTAAAAATAACAAAAGTTTGACGCGTTTGACCGTTTTCAAACCGCGTTTCTTCACGCCGCTCCTCTTTCTTAACTTCTTCACCGTGTTTCGACGCGTTTGACTCGTCAACGAAAATATCTAGCAATAATCTGCTAAGTATGAATGTTATTATTACGTTTCGTTATGTCGGCATAAAATTATGCTCTCTTGGCGTCGATGTTTTAATATTCGAGTAAACGTGGACAGACGAGGAACGTAAATTTTAATTTTAAATAGTATTATTATTGTTAATTATTAATTTAATTTTAAATAGTATTATTGTTACTTTTTATTGTTACTTATATCCAAACGAAAAATTGACAAAATACTCCTCTATTCTTTATTATTTCTAATATAAAAATATGCAAATATATAGTATTATTGTTACTTTATTGTTATTTATATCCAAACGAAAAATTGACAAAATACTCCTCTATTCTTTATTATTTCTAATATAGAAATATGCAAATATAGTGTATTATTAAATTTTCGTTTAAATATTACTAAAAAAAACATCACTAAAGCATTCACAAACTATGAAAACATCGGATATAGCTTTGATACCAATGCAGTATCGCTTTCAGAGGTTCGAAACCTTCGTCGAGGTCGGAATCCTGTTCTTAAGAAGTCCCTCTATTGTTACGTAGACGGCGCAGGCCGGTCTTCTTTCAGTTACGATTCGAAAGCAGTGCAAACGCTATGCTTCTGTGTGCGTTAGCTTGTCGTTCGTTTCCGGCGAAGCTACGAAGCAGCAATGTCTCCCTAACTGACGCTCAGATTATGCACAAAAATGGACAATTTCCGATTATTCGAGCCTTGCGGCTCATTCTTATAGTTGTTGACAATTCCTAAATATAAAAACAAACTCCAAGGATCGAATAATCGTATCTCCTCTTCCCAAATTGTCTATTTTTCTGCACAATCCGAGCGTCAATTAGGGAGACACTACTGTAATGGATGCGTACAGTAATGTCTCCCTTATTGACGCTTAGATTGCGCAGGAAAATTGACAATTTGGGAAGAGGAGATTATTCGAGCCTTGTAGACCGTTTTCATAGTTGTTGACAATTCGTAACTATAAAAATGAACCGCAAAGCCTGTCTCTTATACACATCTAGATGTGTATAAGAGACAGCCGTTTTCATAGTTGTTGACAATTCGTAACTATAAAAATGAACCGCAAAGCTCCGTAATTGACGCTTAGATCGTGCGGAAAAATGGACAATTTGAGAACAGGAGATACGATTATTCCGGCTTTGCGCTATGTTTTTATAATCGTTGACAATCGGTAACTATCAAAACGAGTCGCAAAGCTCGAACAATCGCATCTCCTCTGCCCAAATTGTCCATTTTTCTGCACAATCCGAGCGTCAATTAGAGAGACATTACCGTACTCGGTCCACCGAAGATTCACGTCCCAGAATCAAAGATGACTCCCAGTAGCCCGTAATCGAACAGATATCATGATCACCTTCGAGAACGAGTATCCGGCACATCATAAAACACGCGTATACATCGGACAGCAACGTGGTTGAAAAATAAAGCTGCCTCTTCGCTACCGTCTACACGAAGTAACCGTCCGCGGCGTCGTCGAACACAAAACGGCACCGCCGAGCATAAGTCCCATAGATTTCCGTCGATAGTGAAAGGGTTGGGGAAAGATCGGCCGGAAGAACGACGGCCATTCTCTGAGACGCGCGGGGACACTGTAATCTGTCGAATCTTATGGGAAAAATGTTCGACGTGTGGGATTATCTGCGTTGGTTATCGACGCATTCAGGTGTACGTATTCTCGCGCGCGGATTTTTACGATCGGGACATAAAAGGGGAACGTCGCGTTGCACGTCTTGCTGCGCTAGACGCACCGCACCGTTCACCTCGGACATCTGGCATCGAAGAACTCTGGCATCGATAGCGGTGGTCGGCGTTGCAAGCTGCGGGGGCTGTTCCTGTTTCGCGAACAAAGGCCGAAGCCGTGGTGGCGGTGTTTAAGGAACCTCTGCTTCTTATTCGAACGTCGGATATTCAAATGAGCCTCGCGTATTATCGACGCGAATGCTCGTGCCCGGAATTCTCATGCGACCCCGTCGAGGGGACAAACACGTTCTCCGGTGACATGTTTCTGTTCGGGGAATTCGCTCGGACGGAAGTCGCCGAGGGGTGGGTCAGGGTGTCTCTTGGCGGTTGTTGATCACAATGGGTCGGAATCACGGTTACGAATTAATCGTAAATGTCTCGAATCGATTTCGGTCGGCGTGATCGCGGTTTTCGTTGAAATGGCGACTTCGAACCGGAGAATAGCGCCGATCGGAACTGTCCTTACGCTATTAGATTCGAAAATTTAGATTCAAAAAGTTGGACCGCGGAACTTCGTGCGAAGTAACAGTCATCTAAAACATGTCTCGTCGAATTAAAAAAGGAGTCTGATGGTAGAAGTATACGTCATCGACGCGTTGATCTAAACGCCCGATCTTAAACGAGCCGTAAAAAGTGTTCTTTCCCGCGCAAACAGCAATTCCGACTTCGCTCTTTTACCCGCCCACTGGAAAACTAGAAATGTTTAACCCTTTACACTCGAGTGGTAACTTTGAGGCACCGCTGAAATTGTTATACCATGTTCCAAGATCATTTTTATACGAAGAAAGTGCAGATTGAAAACATTGTTGAAAGGGTAACCGTTGCACGAGTCACCGGAAGACTCAATTTTGCACGCATAAAATGCACTTTGTCACATAAAATGGAGATACTGCGAGCCTGTAAAATTATTTTAGACATGCAGTTAAAACGGCTTCGAGGTCAAAGGTATAACAACTTGATCGAGTCGATCGCGATCAGTCGACACTTTCGAAGCACCCGAAAATTTGCACAGCCTTATCTCCCCGTTATCTTCTCAGAAACGCACAAAATTCACAATCCGTTTAATACCTTAACAATGAAGCTCGCATCGAGCTTTCTCCCACCCCCGGCACCGTATTCAGCAGAGTTAACACACGGATATTTCCATCGGCCGGTCGATTTACCGCGCGACTCCGTTCTCCACGTTTATTCGCGAACGCGAAAACAATCCGGCTAGATAAATGAATAGGGTAAAAAAGCGGGTTGTACATCGAATGGAAAGGGTGGAAAGGCGCGCGCGGGCGCGATGGTGTGCGGCGCGGGCCGTTCGGCGGCCGCGTCGGCCGGGGAGGGGCGCGAGTGGGCGTGGCGAGGCCGCGCAGGCTCCACGTGACCCTATCGGCCCGGTAGGCGGGACTTGCCAGTCCGGCACACAACTACAAGGGCAGTTGTACGGGCCGGGCCGGTGGTCACCGGCGCTCTCTCTGTCGTCGCGCGCGCGGAACACCTCGAGTTGCGCTCGTTCCACGTACAACACCTGCCGGACGATCGCTCGGCGGCGCGCGGTTCAGCCGATCCGTGACTCGTTCTGGAAAGTGTCCCCCTCGCGTCCGTCGATCTTCGCGGCGATCGATCCAGTTTTTGGATTACGAGCCACCCGGACCATGGACGATAACGACGCGACGACCGGGCCGGCTCGAACGCACGCGAAACAACGAGGCTGATCTTCGGAGCCGGGAAGCAATCGAACGGAACCCGCGACCCGACCACCGCAACCGACGCGAACATGTTGCTGCCGGAGTACATGATGGCGGCGCAGTCGAAGATGCTGTACCAAATGAACAAGTACTACGGCGAACGGGTTCAGGCCCGGAAGGGCCAGATACAGAAGACGATCCGCGAGGTGTGCAAGGTCGTGCAGGACGTGCTGAAGGAGGTGGAGGTCCAGGAGCCGCGGTTCATCTCCTCGTTGACCGAGTGCAACGGCCGGTACGAAGGCCTCGAGGTGATCTCGCCGGGCGAATTCGAGGTGGTCCTCTACCTGAATCAGATGGGAGTGTTCAACTTCGTCGACGACGGCACCCTGCCGGGCTGCGCCGTGCTCAAGCTCAGCGACGGACGGAAGAGGTCCATGTCGCTCTGGGTCGAGTTCATCACCGCGTCCGGTTACCTGTCCGCCAGGAAGATCCGCTCGCGATTCCAGACCCTGGTGGCGCAGGCATGCGACAAGTGCGCCTACAGAGACTCCGTGAAGATGATCGCGGACACCACCGAGGTGAAGCTCCGTATCAGGGAGAGATACGTGGTGCAGATTACGCCGGCGTTCAAGTGCTCGGGCGTGTGGCCCCGCTCGGCGGCGCACTGGCCGATTCCGCACATACCCTGGCCGCATCCTAATCTCGTTGCGGAGGTGAAGACCGAGGGTTTCGACCTGCTCTCGAAAGAGAGCGTCGCCCTACAGGGCAAACAGTCGGCCATGGAGGGCGACGCTTGGGTGCTCTCGTTCACCGAGGCCGAGTCCAGGCTGTTGCAGGGCGGCTGTCGCAGGAGATGCCTCAGCATATTGAAGACACTGAGGGACAGACACCTGGACCTGCCGGGAAACCCGGTGACCAGCTACCACATGAAAACCCTGTTGCTGTACGAGTGCGAGAAGCATCCCTTAGAGACCGAGTGGGACGAGGGTTGCTTGGCTGTGCGCATCAACGGCATATTCCTGCAGCTGATCTACTGCCTCCTATGCCGTAGGTGCCCTCATTACTTCCTGCCGAACTTGGATCTGTTCAAGGGAAAGTCGCCGAGCGGTCTGCAGAACGCCGGCAAGCAGGTCTGGAGACTCACCAGGGTGCTGTTGACCAACAGCAGGGCGCTCGAGAAACTTTAGCCGGGATCGTTGATTACGCTCGCTGTCTCCGGATGGGGGGAACGATGAAGTTCCTCCGAAGTTGCGAGGGTTCGAGGTGTATGTTTCGCGCGCATCATCACGGGGCAATGATTTCGCGCCGGTTCTCTTTGCTCGCTTTTTGCTAACCGCGAGAACGCGGTTACACAGTCTACTTTCACCGGTTATTTTCTAAATAGGCAGCTTGTTGACTGTACGATACCAGGCCTGGGAATGGTGTAACCAGCAAAACTAGAGCCGTAGACCTTTTAATCGTTGTTTCTATTTGATTTTTAAGTGGCACGGACACGTCGGAGCCTGACACTCCGATCACTGATGCAACGGTGCAATAATGGTTTTAAGACTCGGTGGTTCGACTCGGAGGGGAGGGGTCGTTGTTGCTAGGTTTTAGTTTTCGATCCTGTGTGCGACGATGTGGAAGCCGGAAATCTTCTTCGTTCGTAATCTTTCGACCGAGAAGGGGGGGAAATTTTTGTTTTTTGGAAAATCACTGCGTTCGATACGTTTAGAATGCTTTCGCTTGTTACCCGGAGTCTCCCGGTGCTTGTCAACGCGGATTTCAACGACGCTCTCCGAATTTGCCTAATTGCGTAAGGCGTTGCAATGTACGAAACGATTAATTCGCTGCTCCCGTTGGCTACCTTTACCTGTTCAGATATGGCTGATATCGTGAATCGTCGTGTGATCCGTTGTCGTTATTCATCTAATGTTTATAATCGGTTAGCGGCGAGCTTCCGACGGTAGTTGGACACTACGCATTGTTATATGTACATACTTTTTTATATTATTTAAACGATATTTATTTTTACTCGAATCGCTGTTCGAACACATAATGTAAATAATTAATAAACGCATCTCGTCTAGTATCTGGCCTACGAATCACTTGAAAACCACCTGCCTCAACAATTCGTACGAGCACTCGACGCGATCATCGAACACCATGAGAAATACATTCTAAAGATACCTATATGAGCCGTTTATCTTGAAAGTGGCACAAGTCACTTTACCGTAATGAAAAGTGGGGATTTTTTAATGTTTATACGAAATTATTTATACCGAGGAAAATATCAGTATCCTGAGATACTGATATAAATACAAGTAAATAGAAGATTTACTAGAGAGAGAGAGAGAATTTGTAAATTTTTTTTAAAGTTACTTTAGAATTTGTAAAGTTTTTATTACAAAATTTGCTCCGATAATATAACTTATTCAAGCGTTTTCCACGAAAGAGTCTCGGAACTTTGCAGAATTGCAAAATAAGAAAGCGGTCACTTTGGCCGCGGTAGGTTTAGCGTTAAACAATGTACGGCATTTGTCGAAAAAATTCGACGAACGATTTATTTCATCGCTGCCCGAATTTTTAAACGTGTTAAAACGCAACCCTTAAATATATCGACTTAAAAACAAAGTGACTTATGCCACTTTCAAAATAAACGGCTCATGCAGCCCTAACTGACGCTTAGATTGTGCAGAAAAATGGACAATTCGGGAACAGGAGATACGATTATTCCGGCTGTGCGCTATGTTTTTATAATCGTTGGCAATCGGTCACTATAAAAACGAGTCGCAAGGCTCGAATTCGCAAGGCTCCTCCTCCCAAATTGTCCATTTTTGTGGGCAATCTGAGCGTCAATTAGGGAGACATTACTGTATATAAATTGATTTTTCCACTTATAAGGATCCCATAAGATTAAGTACAGATAGTACGATTCATCCATTAACGGACCTATGCCACTTTCAAAATAAACGGCTCATATATATACCAACTTTCCTATCGACACATAACGTTGTACAAAAATATTCCTTTGAAATACTTAATCCTCGAATACTCGCATCGATCGAGCAGACTCTCTGCATTCTACCAACGTTCCCCGATATTCTACGACGAACGCTAACCGCGATCTATTCCTCAGAAAATTGGCTATCGCGCCGTAAAAAGCGCGCGGAATGAAGACAGTTACTTCGCGGAAGGAATGCAAAAAAAAAAAGCGAAACGAGCAGTGTTGCGCGCCGCGTCGAATTTATCCGAACGATTGCCATTATGACAGTGAATGAATCGTAGATAATTTTTCAGAGTGGCTCGTAAGAGCGTAGCGGGGCCGGGGGTCCCGGCCAGGAAGACCAAGAACATAAAACCATCAGGACGTAATTATTATCTACGATATTAACACTTCCCGGCGCGTTCGGTGAGATTGAAACGCATCGTCAAAAGCATCGCTACCGAGTTTCATGGGCAGTGCACGCCTACGAGAACCGTACCGGGCTTATCTTAATTCTCTCCTGAAATTTCGCCGCTTATCTTTCGGCCGTTGCAACGGCGATCCGTTCGCCGGTGCCACTCAGTTTCCACGTTGTACCACGCGGCCGATCGTTACGGGGTTTACGTTATTATTATTGCCCCGTAAAACGAAGCAGGAGGAAAGCAGCGTCGTACGACGGGCACCGGGGAACGCGCGACCCAATGAAGCACACTTTACGCGCCGTATCTCGCAGTTCGCCCCGCGATTTACAAGCCTTAATGGTAGAGTTATCGGTGTTGTCGTTAAACGTAGATTTTATACCGAGTTCCTTTTTTTTCTTCCGCCGGCACCGCGGGCCGGTTCTCAATAAAACGGCTGTAAATAAAATCGTCTCTCTTTCGCAAACGGTGCCACCCTGTTACCTTCGGGTACCCGGCTCTCGTCCAATCGCGAGCGAATTTCTTATTTTAGCGGCGCGGCGATTCGACGCGAGACGTTCCGGCCAACAAAGTCACCGGGAACGTGCGGATGGTGGATAACAGACGGTCCTTGCAACTTTCGAACCGAAATGTCGATTGGAAATTCATCCGTTTCTCTCGATTTACGCGAGTCTCCATCTATTTTCACACGGTAAATTGTAACTGGACCGCGGAGATTTATGCGAAATAAAAATTTGTTGCCATTGTTGCAAAGAATGGTAGCAGCTTAACCCTTTGAGACGCTCGAGCGGCGACTCCGAGGCGACGGTAAAAATCGGTGCAGCGTTCTCGAAAGAATTTTCACGTTATTGAATTTGTCTGCATTCGATTAAAAAATAATCAAATGATAGAAGTCTTCTGTAAACTTATATACGTTCTATTTCACATGTATAAAATAGAAGCAATTGTAACAGAATGGAAACACTGTAGGTTGAAGCAAATGTCTGCATTTTGGAGTTAGAATAGCCTCGAGTGCAAAGGGTTAAATGTTGCATTCTTTCTTTCAATAATTTTAGTTGGTCGAATGTGTAATATACCGATGTTATTAAATGTTTTCCATCTTTCTACTGTTTCACATTGTACATATTTATAACTGTGAGAAATGCATGAAATCCGCGATCTAGTTATCATACTACTTCCGCGGTGTTCTTCATAGGAGATATCAATTTAGGCGATCTGAAGTTATGCAGCCAGTAAATATTTCTAAAGTTCTTCGTTAGCCGAAAAATTAGAAAGTGCCATAACAGCATAGATCCAAATATTCAACGAGCTTCCAAGTTTCGACAAAATTTAATGAAACGTTGGTGACGGAAAATATCGAGAAAAGATCATCCGACAAAATCTACACGAACAATGAAAATAAAGTGCAACATCCAAATATTTCAAGCGACGAAGATGACGAGTTTGCGCCAATTAGTTTCTGTCAATAAACTCGTAATAAGTGTCAGACTGATCGAGATGCTTGTACTAAAATATTCTGTAAAACGATTTTCGGTTCTAAATTCTCGAGTTCCCATAAAATTGTGATCTCACATACAAATTGTTTCATCCGAATAAAATCGACAGAATTTTTTATCAACTGAAAACCAGCCGAACCCTCCGACACGTGGCTCACAGTTAACAACACTAAACCAACCACTGCAAATTCAAAACCTTCCCATAAAATTTTCAACTGAAAAATCAAAAATCCGTTAAACAATTTCTCCAAAAATATTCCAAACGATCAATCCAGTAATTCGATGAACTTATCAAAAAAAAACCGTACCTTCGCCCGTCAAGCTCCAAAAGTCCACCGTCGAGCAAAGTACCAACGCCGTCTTCCAAAATAATCTCTCGTCCGGGACGAAACGAAACGCGTCGGCGACGGCGGTAAAAAAGTTGGTGGTTCGCGGAACCGCAGCATGAACACCGCTGCTACCACCATAACGAAAATTTCGGGGCAGCTCGAAGGGGTTGCGGAGGAATGGCCGTGTGTCCACGAGCACGAAATAAAACGAGTCTAATCTACATAATTCATGGGGGAAGAAGGGCTCGCTTTGGGGTTAGCCGCGCTGCTGGCTTCGTCCTTCGAGGTGGATAACGTATAGGTAGAGCCTGGCCACGGATCGATCTTGTCGGTCTGCCGCGCCGGGCCACGCCTCCCGGCGTTCCCGGCGCCGCGATTGGCCGCGCGGGGATCCGCGCGGCGTGGCCTCGGTCAGGTCTGGGTTAGGTCTTGGATCGCGGCCCGCCCTCGCCGGGATCTGGAGAGCGGGTGGCGCGGAGGAGGTTAACGACAGCGCAGTCGACAATCTGCTCCTGCTCGGAGTCGCTCGCACACCTTGTCTTCCCGCTCCTCGCTCGTGTCTCCGCCGGTGCCGGGCGTCCTTAGGCGGCGCGACGCGACGCGCGACGCGATCCACCGGGTGATAAGCGAGTTTTCCGCTTTCCCGAGCCGAGCCGGATATATTCGCAAGTCGGGACAACCTCTCCACATGGGAGGACAGCAGCGGCGCGACGGCTCGCTTTGAAACGATCCGAAACTAGATCGATCCAGGATTTCCGGGGCAGAATGCGGTGATCGCCGGGAGAGAACTCGACACAGAAGCCTCCGGAGGCTTCAGGCCGCCGCAACCATGCTGTTGCCGGCTGACATGCTGGCGGCCCAGTCCGAGATGGTCTATCAGATCAACAAGTACTTCGGGGAGCAGGTGATGACCAGGAAGAGCCAGGTGATGAACACCATCCACGAGGTGTGCCGCGTGGTGCAGGACGTGCTGAAGGAGGTCGAGGTGCAGGAGCCGAGGTTCATCTCGTCCCTGACCGACTACAACGGCCGTTTCGACGGGCTGGACGTGATATCGCCGACGGAGTTCGAGATCGTGATCTACTTGAACCAGATGGGAGTCCTGAACTTCGTGGACGACGGCACGTTGCCGGGCTGCGCGGTGTTGAAACTGAGCGACGGACGAAAGCGATCCATGTCCCTGTGGGTGGAGTTCATCACCGCGTCCGGCTACCTGTCCGCCAAGAAGATCCGCTCGCGATTTCAGACCCTGGTGGCGCAGGCATGCGACAAATGCGCTTACAGGGACTCCGTGAAGATGATCGCGGACACCACCGAGGTGAAATTGCGAATCCGCGAGAGGTACGTGGTGCAGATCACGCCGGCCTTCAAGTGTGCCGGTCTGTGGCCCAGATCGGCCTCCCACTGGCCCATCGCGCACATACCCTGGCCCCATCCTAACATCGTCGCCGAGGTGAAAACCGAGGGCTTCGACATGCTCTCGAAAGAGTGTATCGGCCTTCAGGGCAAGCAGTCCGCCATGGAGGGCGACGCTTGGGCGCTTTCTTTCATAGACGCCGAGAACCGGCTGCTCCAAGGTGGCAGCCGAAGGCGATGCCTCAGCATCCTGAAGACCCTGAGGGATCAATACCTCGATCTACCCGGCAATCCGGTGACCAGCTACCATATGAAGACCTTGCTTCTCTACGAGTGCGAGAAGCACCCGCACGAGGCCGAATGGGACGAGACCTGCATCGCGGCGAGGATCAACGGGATCCTGCTGCAGCTGATCTTCTATCTGCTGTGCCGGAGGTGTCCCCACTACTTCCTGCCGAATCTCGATCTGTTTAAGGGAAAGTCGCCGAGCGGGCTGGAGAACGCGGCGAAGCAAGTCTGGAGACTGATCAGGGGGCTGGTGACCAGCTGTCCCCTAGAGAAACTATAGTCGAGCGCCGCGGCCCACGCGGACGATTCTGCTGCCGAGAAAGTCAAGCCACAAGGTGGAAGGTCGAGCAGCGACAAGCAGTAGGCGTGGATCGGCGTACGGAGCCGGCCGGGAGAAATCGTTTCGAAACTGATTGTAGCCTAATAAACTTGTAGTCCGGAGGATCGTGCTTGGATTTTGTACTATCGCCCACTGAGAGACGAAGCTACCGATCTCCCGAAGCTGTTGTAGCCTAATGAAATTGTATTAGCCTACTTGGAAACGATCCGGAGGCGGTCACGCATCGTCGCAGACGGGGCCGGCAAAGAGGATCCGCCGAGGACGACGGGAGCAACGCGAGCGTATTCCGTGCTCGTGACGGGGGATGTGCAGTGTGTGCTTGCCCAGGGATGATGCTCGACGATGATTGCGGGTGCACGTGTGATTTGGTGTGCCGTGGACGATCGAATCAGTGCCATAAAAACCACGCGTTTCCGATTCGCGGCACGAATGGCCGCCGTTCGAGGCGCGAACTCGAGAGAGGGAGTCGCCGTCGGCAGCCAGCGACCAGTCGAAAATTCAGCGTCTCGACTCCCCGACCGGTGATGTCTGTCCCCCCTTCTTTTATTTCTTTTTTTCTTGTTCAGCGTGTCGAAAAGTTCCGTTCGCGTCGGCGGAATTGGAAAAATCTCACCGAGCCGCACGCGACGCCGGAGAAAAAGGAAACGTTACCGAAACGCTTGTCCGCCGCCAAGAGTCACCGGTCGCGGGTCACTTAGTCTTCTCCTCTAATCAGCTGTTCTGTCCCAGTCGCTATGTAAATACATCTTAAAAGATATTTATTGAAGTGTACACGAAAAAAATTGTGAAATACAATGCTATTTATATGGAGTCGTCGTGGTGTAGTCGTCATTTCAAGAGCAACCCACCCCACTGTGTAAATATAGGGAGGAAAAAAACAACGGCGAGAATATCGATCGGGCGAGAGAGAGAGAGAGCGAGTGAGAGAGAACTGAGGCCTCGTAAATTTCACGCTCGATCTTGCGCGTTTTTCTGCCTCGCCACTGGAGATCGGACCAGCCAACTGGGATCGAGACCTTGCGCGCGCGCCAATAAAATTCCGACGGAGTCGATCCCGGCCGAAACGGAATGTTTAATGCGGTCGCTGGTCGCGCAATAATTTCCGTCGTGTTTTGTCTGGCTGAATTTTGTCACCGTCGCGGTCCCCGGCCGCGTTGTTCTTCGTTCTTGTCGATGAAAGAGAAAAATTCCCGCAGAAATTCTCTGTCCGCTTCGGACGGCTAAATGAATTTATACTTCCTCCCGACGCGGTCTCGCGTGCTGTCGCCCAAGTTTCGCAACCAAGTGTCCCGAGCTGTCCGTGTCCTGTTCCTTCGTTGTCCGGTATTGTCGACGGTTCGACGAACACTGAAAACGCAGCGATCCTTTCGGCCTAACGAAGCCGTTCGCGCAATCGTTATCGGCCGCGTGCTCGCACACGAAGGCAACGGAATGAATTTAACGCTTGTCGCAGCGCAACCGCGGCTCGCAATAAAACGCCCCGAGGAGACACGGACGTGTGGCTTTTGTCGTGCTTCGCCCGCTATTATTTCACCGTTGACGGACTGCGAATTTATTAGTTAATTTATCGGTACAACAATGTAACTATACGCCACGTTTTGCAGTCACCGAAGTCGCCGTTCGTCGGGCAACGCGATCGCCGGCGATCGATTCGAGGATTCCGCGGCTTCGATCGATCCGCGCGTTGAAAAATTACGTTCTCGTCTATTCTCTTGTAATTAACGTTGCCAGCTTTACTTTCGTCGTCTGTCAAGCGATCGTTTGCATTACGCGTCCGACTCGCGCATCGGATAGACAGTTCACCTGCGGGCGTTACCGAAGACGTTTATCGACAACCAGTTCCGCGGCGGAATTAGTATGTCTGCTGAAAGAGCGATCGCTCATCGGTAATCAACGATGATTACCGATGACTGCGGATGTTCACGATATTCAAAGAATATTGAAAAATCTTGGAAGATCTTGAATTCGGTTTTCTAGCTTGTTGCGCGAATAGATCTTCGATCTATCGAGGCTGTCGGCATTGAAAGCAACTCGTTACTCAACACGCGGCACTCTCTCTCGCTCTCTCTCTCTCTCTCTCTCTCTCTCTCTCTGAATCTCTGCGAAAAGAATTCTATAAATCAGTGAAACTCCGGTCCCATTAAACTCGACACGGCCGACGATTATTCTTGACACGCCGCGGCTATTAATATCGCGAACAACATGTTATTTAACAACGGTTTCTCTAAATTGATCTATTAAAATGCTAATCCCCGCGGTAATCTTCGCAGCCGAGCGATCGCCACGAGGTATAAACGCGCGCTACAGAGTCGCCGACGCTCGCGCAACATGCGGAATGATGCGATAGCGTCGGGAAGTCACGAGGCGACATTTGCCATTCCGTTTCAGCGTCGTCCGGGATACGTTCGCTCGCCGAAGAAAAAAAAAAGAACGAGGAAAGTCCGCGAAACGTCGGCGAGACCGATCGCAGAACGCGATATGCCGACGAGGGAAACGAACGCCGCGGGCGCGCGTTCACGGTTAAATTAATACGGCGACCGAACTGCCGTCTCTTCTTGGCAGAGCCCGGGGAAACGCGCGAGAACAAGGCAGAAGCAAATTTTCGCGTGTAATCGATTTCGACCGGCCGTCCGATGGGCACATCCCCGTAACTGACGCAAACGAGCGCAAACCTGGCACCTATTCAAACAACAATTACAAATATCCGTGTTTACCGGGCGTGCATCAGCGAAACTTCAAATAGCCCCGTGCGTTCGGGACGCGCGATCGCAGCGTGCGCTCGCGATGCACGGTGGGAAGAAAACCGATCCCGTGGTCGCAAATCAATCTTTTTTAGATTGCCAAATATACTCACCAAATATAATCACCCGTTTAATTACGAGAGCAGAGGCTACCAGCTTGCGAGTTACACGTTCGAGTCGCCGAACGAATTTCAGACGTTATCTGTTTGATTTTTACTGGTCACACATTGTGGGAAGAAAACCGATCCCGTGGTCGCAAATCAATTCTTTTTTAGATTGCCTCGACCAAATATAATCACCCACATTTAATTAAAAGAGCAAAGGCTACCAGCTTGCGAGTTACACGTTAGAGTCGCCGAACGAATTTCAGACGTTATCTGTTTGATTTTTACTGGTCACACATTGTGGGAAGAAAACCGATCCCGTGGTCGCAAATCAATTCTTTTTTAGATTGCCTCGACCAAATATAATCACCCACATTTAATTAAAAGAGCAAAGGCTACCAGCTTGCGAGTTACACGTTAGAGTCGCCGAACGAATTTCAGACGTTATCTGTTTGATTTTTACTGGTCACACATTGTGGGAAGAAAACCGATCCCCTGGTTGCAAATCAATTCTTTTTTAGATTGCCTCGACCAAATATAATCACCCGTTTAATTAAAAGAGCAAAGGCTACCAGCTTGCGAGTTACACGTTCGAGTCACCGAACGAATTTCAGACGTTCTGAAATCTGTTTGATTTTCACTGGTCGCACATTGTCGCTGATAATTACTCGGATAATTTCAATTGTACACGTTCGAACAGTTGATTGAAAATTGCATAATTTGATATCGTACTCGATTAAAAAGTTACTCGCGAATTTTTACGTATGCCACACCTTAATCTTGACTATTCGTTCACGTTTCGCCTTAACACTAAACCTACCAAGCAGTAATACTAATTGGCACGTACTGCTTCGCAAAAGTGAGAAGACCGAATTTATTTAGAATTTGTCAAGTTTTTATTATAAAACTTGCTCCGATAATATAACTTATTCAAGCGTTTTCCACGAAAGAGTCTCGGAACTCTGCAGAATTGCAAAATAAGAACGCGGTCACTTTGACCGCGGTAGGTTTAGCGTTAAACAATGTGTTAATCAAAAATTCGACGAACGATTTATTTCATCGCTGCCCGAGTTTCGCGATTTCTTCGACGTACAATAATGCGAGCCGTTTATTTTGAAAGTAGCATAAGTCACTTTACCGTAACGAAAAGTGGTGATTTTTTACTGTTTATACGAAATTATTTATACCGAGAAAAATATCAGTATCCTGAGATAACAAATACAAGTAAATCTTCTCGAAAGTTAGCATCCATATTATTAAACGTGTTAAAACGCAAACCCTTAAATATATCGACTTAAAAACAAAGTGACTTATGCCACTTTTAGATTGTGCGGAAAAATGGACAATTTGGGAACAGGAGATACGATTATTCCGGCTTTGCAGTATATTTTTATAATCGTTGGCAATCGGTAACTATAAAAACGAGGCTCGAATTCGCAAGGCTCCTCCTCCCAAATTGTCCATTTTTGTGGACAATCTGAGCGTCAATTAGGGAGACATTACTGTATATAAATTTATTTTCCCACTTACAAGGATCCCATAAGATTAAGTATAAATAGTATGATTCATCCATTAACGGACCTTTGACCAAGATTCAAGATACAGCGAGTTGAAATTTATACAATGTTTACGAAGAAGAGGAAAAACCTACGTAGTTCGCGGTTTTCAGATGCAAATGCAACATTGCAGTCTTTAAAGCATGATAGGAATCCGCTACCGCGTCGGAACGATCGCCGACGGAGTTTCCATCGATTATGCAGCGAGAAGTGTTATCGACACAATTAATAGTTCTGTCGAACGCGCAATTAGATTCGATAAATCATCGCGTGTCTAGATGACTTCGGAAAGCGGCCTGTAGTTTTGCGAGAAAAAACGAGTCGAACGGGCTCGGTTTAGCGTTCCCACGACAGTTAATCCGTGAATTAATTGGCGTAATTACGGCGGGAGCCTTGAATATTCCACGTGACGCGTGAGCGATATGTTTGATAAATATCTGACAGGCGCTGATGCCCGGTCATCCCCTGTTCCCGTGTCTCTTCGGCGAATGCGACACGATTATCGTATAAAATATTGCAATTATATCGCGCCGCGTCACTTTTCACGTCCGGTTAATTAGCGTAGACTCGTTGCAACGTTCTTCGATCGGTTTTCCATTCGGCCGACGCCGAAGAAACGTTCAAATATGGTGAACTATGTGGTCGTCGGAATGGGGTCAAAAGCTGCCGTTCTTTTGCGCTCGTTCATTAATTACGACACGGCTCGTACGCAAAATATGTGGAAACTATTCCCCCGGATAATTTGTTCGCGACGTCGCGACCCTGATCGGCGGCGTTATTTTCTCGCAATTAATAAAGCCCGACGGGAAATCGAATTATATTTTTCATCGCGAGCGCGCCCCGCGATCCCGTTTCGCGATATTCGCAGAATTATGCGGCGGATTATCACTTACCAGATTTTATCGGCACGGACGCAGTAATTAAGGGTATAATACGAAAAATAATGTACCGTGACACGTATACGCGCGCGCGCGCGCGCGGTATATCGTTCTCTCGTCCCAAGACTTTCTGAGACGCGTCGCCTCCGCGGGGACTTTTGTTTTCAGCCGTGTTTTCGTCGTTTTCCTTTTGCTGTCAAAGTAATAACCCGATAAACATGCAAATTTATTCACCGGCGTAATTTGTTGCACGCATGACTGCTTAATATTTAATCGGGGGAACGTTACGAGGCACCGGCGATAGCGTTCACGCTTGAAAAGTTGTAAATTCAGCGACGATCTTACAATATTTGTCGCGTGCGTCGTTCGTCTCCGGTTTTAATTAGCGCGGGGAATGTCCTCTCTTTCTCTCTCTCTCTCTCTCTCTCTCTCTCTCTCTCTCTTTCTCTCGCTGGCTCTCGGGGGACTCCGTCTTTTATTTATTTAGCAAACGATCGGAGCGGCGGGCCCGGCCACTGTCGATCCCAAGAT